GGCTTCGTACTTTGACGTGCCTAACTCTGCTCTTGCCATGTGGGAAAGCTTGTGTAGAGGTGTGCATGTGTGCACTGACTTGCAGGAGTATATTCAGATGACATATATCTTCAAAAGGATCTTTCGTAGTTTTATGCACTGTCGGCACTCAAGCCGCGAGCAAGTCACCTACAAGTGGGGTTGGGGGAGGGGGGGGGGGCTCTGTTGTGTTGTTATGGTGTTTGTTATGATAGTTGCACATGTGTAGGTGCCACCTTCGAAGCACTCTTCCCTTCACTCGTGTACGTTTTTTAAGTTCATACTTACCTCACCTGAATTAATGTCCCAAAGTACACTACCCTAAACTCCCCTCAAAAGTTGGGAACGAGTTTGGTGCAGACGTGTTCCACAGCTTTATTGTTCACAAACACCAGCTATACAACGCCAATGTCCATTATATCTTGTGCAGAAAAGATACCTGAGGTAGAAGCCTCATTGCTACCTATGCATCTTCAATATAGTGGTCCAGCAAACACATCTGAATATTTCACACCTTCGAAAACTACCGAGAAGCAGAACGATGGATCTGAGGTTACTACTGCGTACTTTAGGGGTTGTCGGTTAGTTGCAAAAGAAGTTGATTTGAAGAAAAGCGATGTCAAAGGGTACTTAGTAAACAAAAACGAGGCTTTACAAAGGGAAGTAAATGAAGAAGACGGCACAGAAATAATCAAAACTGTCAAAAACTATTGCGCCGTTGCGTCCTTCGATAAGCTCACTTTGTATGGGCACGACTCAGAGGTAGAGCTGGGCAATCAGTGGTCGTTGATTCCCGAGTTTTTAGAAATTAGTAGCATAATACATGATTAATTGTTCACGTAATAATGAAGATCTCTGGTTTTTCTCGCGACCAGCACGAGGGGAAACTCTTTGTTTAAAGGCCAAATATGAGCGAGCTTTTTATCGCTAGTGATGACGAAGGAGCCAATGAACCACCATTGAAGAAAAGCAAATGCACTGGGGAACTTGATCTCGACTCGGATTCTGACTTTGAAGATGTACCCTTGCAATTGGTCAATCACCAGCCGCCCACGCCCTTCGAAGATGCGGCAAGCGAATTCAACATTGCTATTGGGGATGTAAATGATGTACAAAAGGAGAAGTTGAGGCAGCGGATAGAGGAGAAACAGAAAAGAATCAGCAGTCAATACTTGGGTATCGTCGCTTACACCCTCCATGCTTGGACACGTAACAAGATACTCTCCGATAGGAGAGTTTTGAAAGCTTTGAAGAAGCTTGTGCCTGATCTGTTTTCAAAACAATATAAGAAATTCAAAAAGAACCCCACTGATGAACATTTGGTGTATCTCATAAAGTACTTGATAAAGTGGTTTAGAAAGAACTTCAAGCATGACTCGAATGGGCTACGAGTGCTTGGGTATTTACCAAAAAAGTTCAAACTGGCCGACAACTACTTTCCAAATAACTCCAAACCCGTTTCCGGGGTAAAGGAACTTTTACTAGTGATCAAAAAGTTTCAGCATAACCGGGACGTTGGTGCGCAGATATTCACGGCGTTGCTCCGCAGCTTGGGACTTGAGGCAAGGCTTCTCTTTTCGTTGCCTGTTTTGAGTACCAAGAAGCTGGCTAGATTGCAACCACGATTGGACCATAAAATACTCAGTATAAACAAGGATAACGATCTACTATATCCATATTTTTGGACCGAGCTTGTTAATCCGATGAACACGTCTGAGATTTTTGTCATTGAGACGCAATGCTTTTTGGAAGAAGAGAAACGGTTGGTACGATTGAAAAGAAATCTGTCCAGTGTCCAAAAATCTTACACAAGCATCTACTTCCCAGTTCAGGACCAATTTTGTCAAATGTCTATGCATTATGTGTTGGGTTTTTCAAATTCCAATCTTGTAGTTGATGTTAGTTCCCGATACATGAGTGATGTCTCCTACAGATGGTTTAATAGACTTGATTTGAGAACGGAATCAGGTCGCTCTGCCTTATTACTTCAATCAATCATCCGAATATTGAACTCGAGGAAGCAGTATACTGCTGAAGACAACTTGGAGTTGGATACTTTACGAGTTATCGCAATGGGCAATTTCAGCATTCCCAAAACGCTTTCGGCAATGAAAAGGAGTCCAAATTTTACAACAAAGTCTACTTTGAGATATAATGAGGTTATCGATGCCAAGGCCACACCGATTGCAAAGTCTTTCAACGGTAAGAAATGCAAAGTCTTTTTCAAAAATAGCCTCATAGTAGGTAAATCGGAACAGCAGTGGAAATTTTGTGGGAGATCAGTAAAGCCCAAAGAGCTTGGAAAGCCAATAAAAATAGTCAAAGCTAATCCAAGAACTTTACACCGAAGAAGAATGTTCAATATGAACGACACGAGTGATCCTGAGTTGAACAATTTACCGTTGTACTCTTTTTCTCAAACATGCCCTTATATCCGGCCAAAAGTTATCAATGGTGTTCTACCAAGAAACAAGTATGGCAATATTGAACTATTTAGGCCCAGCATGGTTCCTGAAGATTGCGTGTGGCTAAAAATGACAGACGTTGAATTGGCACTTTCGAAAAGCAAAGTGGAGTACGTTCCAGTGGTTGTAGGGTTTGCATTCAAAGGTGGATCTGCATATCCCGTTAAAAGTGGAGTTGTCGTTGCAAGTGAGGATGAAGTCACTGCTAAAAAGACCTGGCTCACATACAAAATTGATGAACAAAGAGCGGTTCAGAGAAGTCAAACAATCCAAGCCCTATGCGCATGGAGAACACTTTTAAGCAAACTAAGAGTCAAACAAAATCTAATTGAAAGGTATGGTCACTTGTAGTCTGGTGGAGCATCAGACACTACAACTTTCAAACTCAATAATCTCCCCAATGATGCGTATGCCCCGTCTGTTTGCCCTACCAATGTCGTCATTTTCGACTGCAATTGTCCAAGCTGCAAGTCAGTAAACCCATTGGGGTCCTTTGGCAACCAAACTTTGGGAGCCTCATACTTGAATGCAGGATGCAAGAACAACACGTCATGATTAGTGTCGATCTTTGTGCTAGTGGCTGAAGTTTCGCATTTCTTGTCAATTCTGTACATTTTATCCGATAAAATTGGCAAATTTGAAAAGTAGGGAATGTAACGATTATAGATCAATGTGTTTGCAAATATTGTGAAAAACAATACCCAAGTCATTATGAATCCTTGGTATCTCAAAGGATGAGATCCTCGCGAATCTTTCAGGACGAAAAATACTCCAATCAAGCAACATTCAAGACAGTAGATGCCAACATACAAATGTAACAATGCGCTAGGGTATAGTCTTCCCATGGTCTCAGAGCAGTTGATGTGACTGAAAACATACTTCAAGGCGTACTTGTAGTACAATATGGACAAGTTGAGAAAAAAAATGATGAATATGGAAATGAGTGGGGAGATAATTGAATATGAGATCCCGATGCATGCATAGATTGAGTACACTGCAAAAGTGGTGCCCCATTTGATTTTGGGAAGGGTGGTGAGTCTGGTGAACTTTTGTCGTGGTGTGATGTCGACCCATTTGTACCATGTGTTGATTAGCACCAATTGTTTTATCCTGAGGAAGCTGTTCCCACAAAGGGCAAATGCTCGTAGGCAAATGTACTGGAAAAAGAATGTTGCCGATTTGGGCAAGTTTGTTGCCAACAAGACCGGGATGGAAGTTGGTTGGTCGATGATTTGTCTGCAAATCACAGTGACACTTGACAGAATGGTGACGACGAGGAATTGCTGAACAAATAAAAATGCAAAATACCACCGTTGCAAGTCCATCTCAATCTCACTTCCTGTTGCTTTGCCTTTGAAATATGAGAGGAATCTGAACAACATTACAACCATTTCAGTGAGAACAGTGAGCAAGATTGATGGAAGAAACCCCGATATCGTTTCCCTTGCCTCTTCAGGGAGTTGGTAAATCCAGTTGAGAAATGGCATGAGCTTGGTGAGTAATGGTATTTGCGAAACCAAACCGATGAGCGACACTGGAACAACGTACAATATAACAACGGTGACAAATATCAATGTCACCAAGTACTTTTCAAACTTGCAAGCGATCCCATCAATGCGGGATATGTTTCTCCATATAATGTCATCGGGGTGGACTTCAATCAAGGTCTTGTCCAAGCAGCCTTGGCTTTGCGAAAGTAGTGTCTGATGGGCGATGCATGCCCCCTTTTGATCTTCAAACTCGATAAAGACCTTGTTGTGTCTTGTCAAATTGTCATTTGCCATGTTGGAGAGCTCCTCATCTATGGTTACTTGGCATTTTGCCAACATCTCCAATGCCCAAGTTGACATAGACACTCGTTTCTGAAATGCAAAAGCTCTTAACCAGCCGGGAAATTTCAATCGGATGCAACGATCAATTTGGGGGATTCTTATGGATGTGCAATATATGGGAGGATAAAACTTGGTATCTGCTTGCAGCAAGAACTTGTCTGTATCAACATTCAGTTTTAACCAAGTTGAACGATAATACCTAGTCAATATCAACATTTGTGACATTTCCAAATACATCAATGCATTGCGGGCTTTTTCTACTTCATGATCGATTTTTTCAAAATTGTAAACGAGCCAGATATTTCGAACACCACCAGGAACCACTTGAAACAAGTCCCTGAGTATGGTTTTGTCTTGCAAATACGGAGGTACATCAAAGACCAACAAGGTTCTTGCCATGATGGAATTTTTGTGAGAGTCAGAAAGGAGATATGATTGTCTAATGGTGACAAAGCTTTGGAACTCGTATATGATCAACCAATGGAACAAGCCTATTGTGAGAAGCCCCATGACAAAGTGGGCATTCAATCTGGTCACGTTGGATTGAGAAATATTGGAGAGGCTCAATTTGTCCAACCCCGAAGCAGTGTATTTGTCATCGCCACTGGTGAAATTTATGGGAATCAAAACTATCATATTCAATGTTCCTATAAATAGGAAGAAAAGTGACAAGACTGAGATGAACCGGATAAAGAAGTATGCGTCCAAGCCAAGGGACAAGTATGTGTTTATGCTGCTTTTCAATGTTGGAACGATCCACTTCAAAAACCCTCTTGGTAGAGCCTCCATTCTTTCATTAACAGGAACGCAAAAACATCGTGGTTGGTATAGTGAATTAAACACCGATCGCAATAGACAGAATAGCGTTAGTTGGATGGTGCAGAAACATATGGAAGTGAATAAAGTTTTCATAAACACGGAGAAATCAATACCTGATGATGAATGGGCTGCACCTGTTTGGGTAGTGTTTAGAAACGTTGCAAATTGTTTAGTATTGAAAAACTCCATATACGTTTGAGTTAGGGTCTTGTAGTCGTTCTGTTGTATATCTATCGACAGCATTGTTTATGAGGTGGGAGAAGTTTATCGTTATGGAAAGAGCGTGGTTGGTTTTGTAGAATTACTTTTTTATTCCATTATTGTTTCGCAGCCACAAATGCGCACTTGAAAGTCCGAAGTCACGAGCAAGCGCACATTTGACGGGAGTGAGAATTTTCCACTTCACGAACAACGAACCCACACGCTCGTTCATTATTCCCAGATAGTTTAGTGGCTAGAATTACCGTTTGTCGCATGGTAGACCAGGGTTCAATTCCCTGTTTGGGAGCAATTTTTTCTTTTTTTATTTTTTTTTGTTTTATCCTTTTGCAGTTCCTAGCCTAAAGGTTTTGCTTACCGAAGAATTCTATGAATCGGTGGTATGGTTTACTTTACTGCCCCATTGAGAACCATTGTTCTTGTCAAAGCGGGAAATAACACCTTTCCTCTCCCCCCCCCTTACAACTAAGAACCAGTTCTCCGACAAAAAAAATACCAACTTGTTTCGGTACCGCTCAAAACTGCTACAATGAAAGAGTAAAACAAATGCAGATAATCTAAATGTCTAACGAAAAGTCTAAAAACATCACCACAATTGGACCAACCCTTGCCAATCTTGATTCTTTCTCCTGTTCCAATAACTCTTTTCCCCAGTGATGAGTTCCCAAGCACCTTCATCGGCAGGTTCGCCTTTATCACCAACAAAACGGAAAAATTGAGGTACATGTTCTGTGCCGCTCTCTTCCATTTGTTTTCTTCTTACACGTTGATCTTGTTCAAGCTTATTCTTCAACTCTTCAGCTTTATCGGCGTCGCCTTTTTCGTATGCTTGTAAGTCTGGTCTGAATCTTGAATCAGTAGGTGGAATGAATCCTTGTTCAATCTCGGTGATCTTGTTCAAAGTTCCTGCAAAGGTGGTGAAACCATACTTTTTCTGATAATTGGGTAACAATTCACCAGCTTGCCATATACTCTTTTCAGTTGACTTTGTCTTGAGAATGAATTGCTCTGTCCATTTTCCAGACACGGTGTATGGCAACTCCTTTTTGGACTTGTCAAATGCCTTGACTTCAACATCCTCGGATCTTCCGCTCCACATTCCACCTTTAGCAAATTCGGCAACCGCCTTGTATCCTTTCGAAGACTTGATGGTGATTGTTCCATTTGGCTCAGCGTACGTTTCTCCCGCTATAATGTTCTTGATCATTGTTGTTGGTTGGTTCCAAGTAAACTTTTCACCACTTAACTTGTCAGTCAACACCACTAACCCCTTTGTGGTTACTTCAGATTGCTTACCCCAGAACTTTTGAGTTGGCGATAAGGCAAAGTCCATGGTCCAGTTCTCGGTGTCGACATGGAAGGCAAAGACAGGAGGTCTATGACTGACCTTTTCGGAAACTAATCTGAAGCCTAAATCTTCTCTCACCAATTCATAAGTCTCTCCCAATAATGGTGTGAATGGTTTCCTCTTGTTTCTCTCTTTGGCTCTTTGTGAAGAGAGCGAACTCAATGCAAATGCAGCAATTCTCAAGATTTTTTCTCCATTGTCGCCTTCAAATTCTGATTCAACCGCATTGGTGACAATTTGAGGATATTCAAGCATTTCAGCAAACTTTTGAAGCACAGTGGTGGGTTCGTTGTACGTTACAGGCATAGCAATGGTTGACAAATCTTTACCAACATTTTTACGAACAAAACTGAGAAGCGATGGTGGCGAGTGCTTACAAGCAGGGATATCATAATCACGCGCAACAGGTTCGTGAGGTAATGGATACAAGTCATTTTCGCCACCAACTGTTGGAAAAGGTATGTCTTGTTTGTTATCTGTATTGTATTGGTTCCGAGTCTGGTCAATTGCAGCAGCTCCTGCAGCTCCTGCTGCTCCTGCTGCTCCTGTTGCAGTTTCACTTAAGCGAGAATGTCTTCTGTTGAGATATTGATCATCATAATCCTCTTCTTCTTCCGATGAGCTTTCATCCACTTCCAAATCTTCGTCTTCTTGCTGTGGTGCATATTCTTCATTGTCAAGGAATTGAACTCCGTCATCATCAAATTCTTCATCTGCATCATAAAACTCTGATGTGTGAACCGATTGCAAGTCACCATTAGGACCTGGACCGTCGTGTACTTCTCCGCCTCTTCTATTGCTCAAATTCAAAACATCTTGGTAAATCTCCGCCACCAAAGGTGATGGATTTTCGAGTTTCAATTTGTCCAATTTTTGTAAAATCAAGTTTAGTTCGGTAGGTGACTTTGGTGTAGGAGATTTTGAAGTAGTCGTCACTGCACTTGGCCCTTCTTGTTTCTTGATTGCGTTGAATGCGTTGACCCAAGCTTTGAAATCTGCTTGGTTTACTGCTTTCAAGTGCCACACCTCCATACCGGAGTCGATAATAAATTGTCGATTAGAAGGGTTTGCAGATATGATTGCTTCTTTAACAGGCATTTGACCCCTCAATTTGTTATCGTCAACTTTGAAATAGGACAAAGACCCTCTCTTCAAGTTCAAGACAAAATAACGCTTGACAAACCCTTGCAACTTCTTTCTTCTCTTTTTCATCATGACACTTTGCAAAACCTCCCCAGCAAGAGAGTTGTCTGCATTGTCGTCAAACACATGCTGGTCATTGTGCTCAATTTTTTCTTCTTGTGGCAAGTCAGTAGCCACAACATGTGCATAAAACTCAACTGATTTGGCAATAGTCTTGGAAAATGAGTTGTCAAAAACAAATGCAAACATTCCTCCTGTTTCGGTGTGAAATTTCCCATGAACTAGCTCATTGGCAATCAATTTGTTGTAATTCTTGACTAAAGATAAGTCAGATTGGCCAATTGAAGACAAAGTGGAGGTTCTTGATTTTGACTTGTACACATCATTCGACTTTTTAAACTGATTTACTGATGCTGTTGACCCTGTTCTAGTTCTTATTTGAGGTGGTGGTAAATCACTGGAAGGTGTACTCTTTTCCGATACATCAAAAGAGGATTGGGATGAAGAATTGTCGTCCTTCCGTTGGTAAAATGAGAAATTGATGGATTTTTTCAATGGTTTCACTTGCCAATCTATGGTGGAGTTTTCTGGAGCACTGATCCACTTGATCAAGAAATCTTTTGAGTGAATCTCCAACGTTTCCATTGAGGATTCAGATGCGGCAGGCATTTAGGTTGAATGGGGGGGAGTGAGTGAAGGAAGGGAAGGAAGTGATGGGGTGAGGGAAGTAGTGAATGAGGGAAGGAGTGAATGGGGGGAATCCTTGCACGTGGTAAGTATGGGGAAATAACTGTTTGACGATGATGAAGTTAGCGTTCGATTTCCAGGCGTTTCAAAGTGTTGTAGTTTGGTATACTATTTAAGTTTGGATTTTCAATACTTAGTAAACCTTAGAAACACTCAATCTAGGGTAAATTGTAGACTTGATTGGACAAGAAGAAGATGGTAATATATGGGCTAATTGGAGTCCCTTATATCTGGAAATTAAAAAAATTAAAAAAAAAAAATAAAGAAATAAAAATAAAAAATGGTTGAGCAAGAAAGAGTTACACAAACGGAGATTAAAAGTCCAATTCTTTTCGTACACATACACATATACTTATACATATACACACACACACATATACACATATACACATATACATATACATATACACATATATACACACATATACACATATATACACACCCCTCCCCCCCGCCAATTAGAAGAAAAGACTGAATTTCTTTTTTTTCTTTTATTTTTTTATTTATTCTGTTCTTCTTCTTCTTCTTCTCTACGGAGTTAATATGTACAATGGGTTAAAAAAAAAAAAAGAAAAAACACACATATATAACAAAGAGAGATTAGTAAGGAGGAGAAGGAGACAAGAAAGTGTGCGTGTGGGGAAATGGGAACTATACATAGTGAGTGTATTATAAGAAAGAGAGCTGATCTTCATCTGTAGGGACTACATTACTCACTTTGACACAGACATTACCATAGACCAACATATAGTAAAACATACTCCTCGGTAAGAGAACAGTACCGAAAGTTAAAAGTTACTGTGTGTATGTGTATGTGTCTATGTGTATGTGTATGTGTTGAGTGGACACTGAAAAATTATCACGTGTGCGACTAAAGTTTCACACGCACAAGCACCATCTCTCCACAAACCCCCCCCCCCCCAATAAATTTAGTCACACACTAGTACGGTGTTTTTTCGTTCATTACACACATAGACATTACTAATTACAACTTCAAATTAAACCTCTCTTCAGAGCTGCTTCTTGACTCTAGTTCATACAAGTCCGTGGCAAAATCGTCACTGTGTAGGGTGCCCGGCATCGTTGTGCCATTTCCTAGTCCCCCACTAAGACCGGCAGCGACACCACCCCTGTTTCGAGAGAATAACATAAACTGCAATTGTTTTCTCAAACTATTGATCATCATTCGCTGCAAATTCATATCTTCTCTCATCATAAAATTGTCATTAACCAAGTTCTTTATCATTTTCTCCTGGTCACTAATCTTTGACCTATTCATAAATGGAATTAGCTTTTCATTGATTTCAAACTTGAGTCGATCTAGTTCAAAATTGAGGTATATAAGCTTATCCTGATCTGCTTCGCCCGAATACTTGTTGATTTCCTCCAAGCCTTCATTATATCCCAAATTGGTGACTTTACCCTGTATTATAGAATCCAATATTTTGTGTAGTTGACGTTGCAAAAACTCATTTTCCAGCTCTAAACTAGTCATCCTCTCATTCATTGATGTATAAAAGGGGAGAAATTGATTCAATTGACAATTTCCATTTTGAAGATGTATTTCCAATGAGGTTTCATTCGAACCTACCCATCGACATCCAATCTCATGCGCAGGACACTTGACTTTACCCATTTTCAAACAATTGTCTTGATGCTTTGCCATATTCTTTTGTGGTATCGAGTCATTACCACACAATTCACATGTTTTAAAATTATACAAACACTCCTGCTCAAGATGCTCATTTTCATCAATCTTTGTCAATTCAGAATCACAAAACTCACACTTGAATAACTTGTGTACACATTCATTTGCCTCAATATCCTTAAGGTACCTTCTTTCCACTAGTAACTCACAATACTTGCTATCATCATAACGACAACCACCACACTTGACTCCAGTGTATGGACACTGCTCCGTTACATGGTGGTCGACTTCCCACCTACTTCCAGACCAGTCACATCCACGCTCACTGTTTAAACAATACACTTTCAAGTCATCAACTAGATTGGTAACAATTAGTGGTGTGGGAAACAAGTCATTGGTGTTGACGGGATCAATGGGCGTTCTATCTAGCGGACAATGACCAGCATGATCATTACTAGTAGTCCCATTTCTTAAGGACTTGACAAATTCTAGTATGCACTCTTTACAAAAAGTGTGGCCACATATGGTAGTTAGGGGAGTTATGAATGGTTGTTGGCAAATGGGACAATTAAGATGGTCTGTGTTTGTCTTGTATTTCAAATTTCTTAAATCTGGTGTTGAATCATTATCTATTAGATTAAATGAGCTTGCATAGTCCGTGATGGTGATTGTGTCGTTGTATCTGGCTTTTGAAGTGTCCTGTTCCTCCATTCTATGGTTGATGGTGATGTAAAAGTGGGGAGAATTCATATATATATAGAGAGAGAGAGAGGGAGAGATTTTGGTTTATTTTTCCTTTTTTTTTCTTTATCCACCGCGGAATTTGTTGCAGAATTTATGAACTCGCTTTGATTGAAATTGAAACAAAAACGTCTGCAATACATGAAAACAGTGTCCAGCCAGATAATGGTGACAAATAGGGGAAGAGCTTATTGCTTAAATAGAAGGAATATCAAATACCAAGATGTCTTTCAGCAGTGACCACGGTGCTATTTAGTCTAATTCTTTAAAGGAAGAACAACTAAACAATGGTAGTTCCTGGTTAGTGTAGCAACAGCCTTGTTTTCCCTGTAAGAATCTCTTACTCAATAAGCAAGTTGACTCTGTACAGAGTCTATTTGAAAGATTACGCCTCTTCTGTGAAGTTTTTTGATTTCTATTTGTAATTTCGCAGCAAGTCTAGACGGCGAAGAAAATAAAAAATAAAAAAAAAAAATCATCACATTGATTATGCCAGGACAGGAATTGTGGCCTGGACAAACCTCACAAGCGACATTCTCAAAATATTAGTATTAAACGGAATCGTTGGTTGTACAAAGGAGAGAAGTCAAAAGTATTACAAATAGTGAACTATCGCAATTTTGCTTTCGATTGACCGTGATTGAAAAGTTCTTTACCAGCGTAGAAAAATGTACTCCAACTGTGGTAAATTTTCTCTTCAACCTCCAGGGTTCAGCTGATTGTAAAAAGAAGTAGCACTAATAAGACCTACAGAAGTGGCTTTCTATTTCACNCCAAGGAAACAAAAAAGTGGGACACATATTGACTTTTATGAGAGCTAAAAAAAAAAAATAGCAAAAAAAAATTAAAGGTCCTAACCAGATTCGAACTGATGTTGTTCGGAAGTTTGACTAAATTAATCAAAACCGAAAGTGATAACCAAGCTACACTATAGGACCACTGCACCACAAAGAGTGATTTCTG